CAGCAAATGACGCGACCAGGCACACCTCGTCAGAAACATGGTCTAGTTGTGCGTGTTGATCAAACACCAAGAACAGCTGCGGCAGTTAGTGAGAGGTTTAGCCGTGAGACACCAAAGAAAAGATTCAAGCTGCGCCAATCTTACCATACCGCTTTCCCCATCTCCGCCAATGCTCATTTGCAAACACCTCAGCGCATTGGAATCATCAAAGCAGATGCCTGCCTAGAATTCGGGACTGCAAAACACGCCACCAGGAACTGAAACAGCGCCAATCATGACCACTCCACCTACAACGGCTCTCAAAGCTGTATATTAGGACTTGACTCTCTTGCAGCACCTTCTCACCCGCCAGAGAAGATTGCAGAGTGAGTGGTGATGGTTTAAACCGAGCATCAATCTGTGCGAACTTAAGTTGTATACGCGCCGAAGCAAAGGGACTCTGTTAACGCTGTTCAGAGGAAAAACAGTGGCGGAGAGAGCTGACGCGCCGCAAGGGGCCACACCAAAGCGAAGCGCGCAGTTCAGACACCGTGCTGCCATTGCTCTTGTTGACTTTAATGGAGCTGAGCTGTTCCTTGACGTCCTTGACACTGCACCCATTAGTCGGCGCGTGGACATACAAGTGCTGCTATGCTGTGTTTGAGATGAAATGTTTAAATTTGCCTCCTTTGGCAAGAGGGTCAATGTGATGCAAATCAATTTTTAGCGGCTTACACCTCATGAAATGGGCGACTGATCACTAATATTCAAATTTGTGCCTTTAGAAGTATGCTGGGCACCCGTGATTTCAGGACGCCATTGCGACAAGCAGATCTCGTTGCTGCTATATCCGATTGACCAACAACATTTTGATGTTCGCCGAGTAGCATCTTCCACGGCAGACTAAAAATGAGCTATCACGAATGCATCGTCAACAAGCGCAACGAGGATGGCGTTTCACATTCGTGCACACTCTAGGACGACATTCTTGGCCACCGACAAACTACCAAGGGCAATTGGTGCAAGGCAAGCAATGAAGAATGCAACATCGCAACTTTGGTGAGTTGACCAATTATCTTGTCGTCGTACGTTTGCTTGTTGACTAATTGATGCTTCTGACTTCACAGTTGTTTGGAGGAAGCTGGACTTCCTCAACAACACTCGTCCGGGGGCTTTGAAAGCCTTCTAATAATACCTTCTCGCGTTCGATGCTCGCTGCTCTGCCGGTGTCCCGCGATGGGAATCACTTGTCTGTAAACTGATTGGGACTTTGCCAAGCTTCTTGGTGGGTCGTGAATCTAATTAGCCGCGATGCGCCTACCACCCGTGCCTGTTCACACGCTTTCCAGAACACAGATCGGCATTGATGTACTACCGCTGCGCCGGTTTGATGGATGACCCGCCCGTGGTTCTGTACTTAACGTGACCGAATTGTAGTTAGATTTACGTCATCAGTGTCTGCAGTCACCATCGCAGACACAGTGACCCCGCCCATATTTTCTTGCAGGCAAGAGTAAAGTAACGAGAATGCTGTGGTCTGGAGCTTTGCACAGGGCATCCCCGACGTCTTCAAGTCCACCAGTAAAGAGAGTTGACCAGTCTAGCCAGGCGACTGGATCGTGGTCGGGACAGGCAAAAGGGAGGGATTCGTTGATGCGCCAATTGTTTGAAGCCTCCACGCGTCTGTCAATCTCCCAATGCCTTGACAACTTCTGCTGTTGAGTCAGTCAAGAGCAGGTGGCGGCAAGAACTGACTGTGGTTGCAACTTTAGACTCCGTGTCAAGGCTCCAAGAATGACTGTTCCAAATGCAACACAGCTGCCCGAGACAACGGCCATTTCAGTGAGACGTCTCCCAGCTGCTGCAGAGCTGTAAATCGAGCCTCAAGGCTCGTGTTTGCTTGCTGGAGCTTCTCAAGCTTGACGTCCTTGTCTTCTAGCTTCTTCCGCATGTGCTGAGTACTATCGTCGACAGCTTAGCTGTGCTGACTCTCGAGGTTGCCGACAGCATTTTAAACGCCATTGACAGAATTTCAGCGCTCGCGACGAGACTCTCGAAGCCGAGAACGCCGAGCTCATGAGGTCTTGTGCTTTGAGTGTGCACGCGAGCGAGATCTCGGCCCAGGCAGGTGCAACAAGTGCACACAGACTTTTCATCTTGCAGTGCACCTATACGAAACTTGTACTTGGCTGACCGCATGCACTTTGCTCGCGAAAGCATACTAGTGCCAGGAATACTGGCGTCAGCTGAACTTTTAATGCTCTCATCGCGTCAAATGTAGATTTTTGCCTCTTGACTCTGTTGAGCACCGACGACGTATCACGAGCACAGGAATGCTCGAGGTAGCGGACATTTTGTGCTCGCAGCTGAAGGAGCTCTTCGGCATGGACGAAGAAACCGGCTCGCCAGGTGAATGGCAAGATGTGCACTGTCAAAAAGACAGTCTGTCCTCTTACTCTGCCCGCTCTTGCCGAAACTCTGACGACAAGGTACGATTGTTGGATCCATCGTTAGTGAGCAACATTGACGTTGCACTGAAACTGTTGCTTCACAGCGACTCGGGGTCTACTGGCACAGATCGGAACAAGTGTAGGAGCACTCGACCGAGCTTGCGTTGCTTACTGTTTCACAAACATTGAACACTTGTGAGAGGCACCAAAAGCCAAGGACACCAAGCCAGCCGAGGACGCCAAGCTTGAGATCTTTGGGGCATATTTGCTTTGCTCGGGCTGTTGTCTTTGTGATCACAGATGTCATGCGGGATGATGCGGTGTAAGCTACTCTTCACATAACTACTCAACTACTGAATGCGCTTGTCCGATCGCACTCCAGCAAGTCAAGACTCGTATGTTATCATCGTATTGGCAACGCAAAGTGGATGAGTCGCCAAGCGCAATGAAAATGACGCTTCGCGAAGCGCAAAAAATGGAGACAGCGACCGCAAAGGTAGGGCTCCCACTTGAGTTGTGTTTGTGAATCGCCTAAGTTATGCTGACTTTGATTCGCAGCTGCGTCGGTGAGACTGAGGCGTTGCTCAAAGCGCTGTGCATCGACATAGGCAAGTCGATGATGTGAGCCGAAGGGCTCAACAAAAGTAGTATGAGTTACAAAAGGCGCTCTTGACGTCTCAGACGTGAGTTTGAGGCATCGGCAAGCGCGCAGCGCAGCACTCCACAAATTTGAACGCAGCATCTGCGCTCAGCTGCAATTGCGTCCAAGCAAATGGCCAATTCTTAGCAAGCGCAGGCGGCCCTAAAAACGACTGGCGGGATGCCTGGTGTCTCAAGCGGCGAGCAACGTTGCATATAAACATAGTTCATCAAGAAAGCAGTGAAAAGAAGCATAGCCCAGGGCAGTGTGTGATGGTGAGAACGCGGCTTCACAGTGGGCGTGACATGTCTGCAGACGTTGAGTGAGCGCAACACGAGGAGGAGCAGCACAGCAGGGCGTGCAAAAGGGTCGAGCGGGTAGTAAGTGTTGCGGCAGTAATTGGTATTGAGACAATGCATGGGTGCAGCAAGGGGCTACAGTCAGCTAGACAGACACGACTGTAAGTGTTAGTTGTGCAGGGGTAGATGGGCTCACGCAGGATTCTCAAGAGGAGGCGAGCACGCAAGGTCAATTGGGCCTGAGCAGGGCAAGGTGTTGGAGTCACTGCATGCAAATACACCTCCTCACATGAAGTGCGTTGCGCCAACGCCTGAGAAGGGCAAGGCGTCCGGGTCACCACATGGGAACACGCCTCCCCACATGAAGTGCGTCTCTCCAACACCAAAAGGCAAGGGGCAAGAAGGTGCATCGTCCCCATTTTGTGCAAGCCCTTCCCCTATGGTCCACCTCATGGAAGATCAGATGTGGGAAGAGGTGTTTGAACTGGAATATGTTGACCACCTTGAGTACCTCAAACTGGACATCAAGATCAGGATCCTCACCCAGGTGCTTCACATTTGTGCAGGAAGGCAAATTATACCTGTAGAGCTTCTCATTGCTCTGTCCAGAAACGTCCGGCACCAATTTTGGGCAGGTGACAAGCCCCCATTTCCAGACAAGGAACAACAGCTTATTACCCTTGCTGCCAGGATCATCCAGCATGAAGAACTGAAGGCTACTGGTCTCTTGGCAGTACTTGGAAAAATCAGCTTGGAGGAAGAAAGGTTGTTCAATTGACCGCAAGTGGCAATCGCCGGCACCTTGTGCTCCTTACGCTTCAAATCCAAAAAGCTTGGTGTTGACAAGCTCTTCTGCTGCTGTTTGGCTCACTTCAATTGCGCATTATCCTGTTGCTTTCCAGCAAAGTCAAGCCAACTACTGCCTTGCGTGCTCTTCGGATTCTTGGAGGTGGACAGTCATCTCATGCAGCCTATGTCACTTTTTGGACCATCTCACAAGCAGCCTGAGACCAAGCAACACAATTATGCTCTTGCTCTTCTGCCTCTTTTTGCTTGCTCATCTGTGCCTGCTTCTTGTTACCCGCCTTAAGAACAGCCCTCTCCCAATTGTCGGCAAGAGGATGGAGAGGAGGGAGTCGGCCATGGCTGACCAGTGCTGTACATCCAGATGCTGGTGGTTATCTGCAATCTCCAGCTTCCATAGGTTGTATGCGGCTTCTCCCAGACTGTTCAAATCAAGCTCTACCAACCTCACAAAACCTTGTGTCTTGCTGGCTGCAGATGCTGTGGAGGTTGATGTTGCAACCAGACAGACATCTTCCAGCTTGGCCAAGGTGATTTGGCTGCGTGGTCTCTTGAGCATGTGGATGCTCTTGCCCCCTAAAGACTGGGCTTTGCGCATGGATGGTTGAGCAAGCATGAAAGCAAATGTGACAGAAGAGATGGTGCTGTTGGCGGCAATTGGCTGCAAATCTATTGAGAAGCGTCTACCTCCTTGTGCTGGCAAGGGCACCCAAGGTTCTGCTCCATGAATCACAACAAAGGTGTGCAAGTAAGGGTGAATACCACCAAGAACGTGAGAAAGATCCACAAGCGAGTGAGAAATGCCAAGAGCAATCCAAAAAGCCACAACAAACATTTGCTGGATTGCAGATGTGTGCATTGGAGCCAGCTCTGCGTGCTGGAAAAAGAGAGACATGGTGGTGATGATGGTGACATTGTTGGAGGTAATGCCGGTAGCCAAAAGAATGTCTGGGACAGCGTTCATGGGGTGGGTGCTGGAGTATGCAGGACATTGCGTGGAGAGACACCATCCAGGAGAGACAAATGTTGCATGAGGATGAACTTCTCCTCCAAGACCGTGGAGAAGGGTGAGAAACTGTCAATAGGCCATGCTGCCAACGCAGACAATGACTGTGGACCATGGCGCAGCAGGGTTGGGAACCTGTGTGAGTGCACAACTATTAGCATTGATGTTGTGTGTGCGTGCAGTTGTGCACGCACAATGATGTGTGAGCGCAGTTGATCAGGCTTGGTTGTGAATGGTGACTGGACAACAATCTTGACCAAACTTGTTGCGTGCACCTTTTGGTGGCAGTGTTCCAAATCACTGCAAGCAGCATTGCGCTCACTTTCTGGCAAAATTTTGGCCGTGGAGTGCGGTTCGTTGTGAGAGCTCTGTCCTTGTGTCCCTTGGCGCATTGCACCACCAACTTGTCCTGGTGGCCAGGTTAAGTATGGAATCCTGCCTGCCCAATGTACCAAGCACTCTAAGCATGTGACGCCTGCGGTACAGGTATACTGAGGCCTGATCTAGCAGTCGCCTGGAGCCCTGCCTGGTGGGGTGCGCAAGAGTCAAACCTGTGGCCTGGCTGACTTGGTCAAATTTCACGGCCTTGTTGTTCTGTGGCGAGGCGGCCGCCAGTTTGAACCCCTTGTCAAAGAGCAGTTGCCTTCTGGTTGACCCCCACCAAAATCTCAGCTCAGGCTTGGATGACCACGTCGAAAGTTTGGAATAGCCAAGCGTCGCAGACAGCGTCCTTGGTGAAGCACCTTTGCGATGCGAAGCTATAGCGAGGGCGCCAAACCATGCGATGCACGTGCTGTTGCACTGGATGACACCACGACCACCAGCAAGTTTGACACCCTCTTCCATGACCTGCTGAAGCGAGCGCCACTGTGCAAGGGGAGCAATGGCGCTTGCGCTTGTCGGGGGCAAGATTTGGTGTGAGGGGGCGTTGGAGAGCAGCTGCGGTGAGTCTGTGGATGAAGACTCTGCTGATCGACGCGCCCCTTGCAGTCTTGCTGCTGCTCCTGCCATCGAGGGATGTGCTGCAGAGGTGCTCGCTGTTGAGTGACGTACTGCAGACGTGCTCGCCGTTGGGGAACCTCCTGCAGACGTGCTTGCCATTGAGGGACGCGTTCCTGCTGCCGCTGCCGCCACATCTGGCCCATTGAGCATTCGCGCACGCAATTCTTGAACCGCGCTCCCACAGCTTTAAAGACGCTCGGGTTGGGTCCCACCGCATAGCACTTGATTGTGGTTAATTGCTCATCTCCCTTTATAGGGGCTGCAACTGGCCCTTGACCAGCGGGCCTAGGTGGAATGCTCTGCCCGCTGGGGTCATTGGATGCCGCTTCACGCATTTCAAAGGAACTACGCTGCAGGCCCTCATCTGCGTGTTTGGTTCCAGGCAGCGGTGGGTGCTTGCCTCGCAATCAATCACCTAGTTGCGGGAGTTGTGGGCCTTGAACCACATCACCTAGTTGCGGGCCTCCAAACGGGTTACCTGCTTGCATGCCTTGAACCAAATCACCTAGTTGCGGGCCTTGAACAATGCGAGCCAGATTGGCAGGGTCAGGCAACTTGTTGACAGGCACTTGCTAATCTAGGCAGGTGATACTACCATACCCAAGAGGAACGGACTGAGGCTGTGGGTGTGCAGCAGCATCCCAACACAGCTGGCATCTTTTGGAGCAGCAGTCCCACCAACAGTGGTTGCAAGCAGCATAGCATTGCATGCTATGATAAAGAGTGCCTCAAGCACATGATGAAGCCTGCGGCTGTCAAAGGTCTCTCTCTGACTTGTCAACCATGGTGACAAGGGCCCTGACATTGAGCCCGCTCCCTGCACTCTGAACGGCCATTTGGCAAAGGAGATAGCCAAGCCAACTGTCAAAGCCTTCATTGTGGTCTTGAGACTGCATCGGAAGCAGGGCATTGCACAACTGCATGCAGGCGGAATGAAACAGTGTGCCTCAGCAGAGTGACCATTTTTAATGTTTTGAAAATCTTGGGGAAGGTTTGCGTGCGACACAACCCAGATTCCCCAGCCCATGGCAGCGAGCCATTACACGGTAGTACAGTGGTACAGCAGTACAGTTAGTACAGTAGTACAGTAGTACAGCAGTACAGTAGTACAGGAGTACAGGAGTACAGTAGTACAGGTACGTTCAGAGGCTGCGAATGGACTGACGAGTCTATCAAGAGTGCGAGACGACATTCCCGAGTCAGGCAGAATATTCCTTCGGCATGCTATGCATCGTCTTGGCTTGACACGTGGAACTGTCCAAGGAGTACACAGAGGCAAGGGAATTACAAACGATACGGATACCTACATCTAAGGCAAACGTTCTGGCAGCGTCTCGTCCCCAGACGTTGGTGCCGTTCGAGCAGTCGCTGGCTTATGGTCGTCCGGCGATCTATGCAATCCCACTCCCTTGGCCCACAAGCTGCTAATGAACGACAGTGCTGCAAGTACAGCAGCGGCAGTCAGAGCGACCATTACGCCGCGTCCGTAGGTTTCAGTAACTGCTCCCCTGTAGTGATCGGGCAAATCTCGTATGGCATCGGTGGAATGTCGAACGCTTTCCACGATTCTTTGCTTCTCGATGGGGCTTGCGTCCGGCAACGCAGCGTCGATCACTGATGGTAGCTTGGCACGCAACCAATTTTGCAAAATAGCAGAACCCATTGCTACACCAGCGACGTTGCCAAGGCTGCGACACAAGTACACAGTAGATGTGGCGACGGCTTGATCTGCGCGGCGAGAGGCATGACCGCAGGAAATCAGCTTTGCGAGCGTGGTGCAGACTTTGCCAGCCTTCACCCACCTTGATGAGGAAATGCAGCGAGCATCGTAAAGAGACTGCTGGGATTGATAAGGCCTTGACCAATCTGAACCGGGATTAGCCGGAGAAAGTAGTAGACCCCGGATCGTGTTGGGGCGCTGGCATCCAAATCGAACTGCAGTGGCAGCAAACTGCCCAGCGTCAAGACAACGCAGCCAATCTGTACGAGGGTGCCAAGCTTGCCGTACCGTGACATGACGTAGCCGGCGGCAATGGCGCCGATGGGAAATCCGAGAGCCGGCAGGATCAGACGCTTTCCGACTCGAGAAGTGTCCTCGAGTCGACAACCTAGAAAGTATAGAGGAACGGTGAAAAGAGTGGCATAGATACTGGCTCCTGACAAGAAGTTTGTGGCAACGTTCGACTTGGAGAGCCTGCTGCCGAACACCATCCTTGCAGGTAAAATCGGTGCAGGTGCTCGTGCTTCAGCAACACGGAAGAAGACGTAAAAGCAAGAGAACGCTAAGGCGAAAAGCGATATGCTGGTCCAAGAAGACCATTCGATTTCATTTCCCCCCAGGCTTAGCGCGAGCAGGAATGCCGAGACAGAGACAACGAGCGTGATCGCACCTGCTAGGTCGATGGGAGCATCACGAGGAAGTGGCATCACCTCCGGGTCCTTGACCAGCAGCGCACCGCCCAAGACCGCAGCTAGAGACAGAGGTAGCTGAAGTAGGAAGACATAACGCCAGCCGATGAGCTGTGTGACGATGCCGCCACACGAGGCACCAAGTGCGCCTCCTAAGCCATACATGAGGTTATTGGCCGCTTGGTAGAGACCTCTCCGCTTGAAAGGGACATTATCGGAAAGCACGACGGTGGCCATCGTCATCAGACCACCTCCTCCTAACCCTGCGATTGCTCGAGAGATGTTGAGAGCGAGCATGCTATTTGACACGCCGCACAGCAAGCTCCCAATGGAAAAGACTGTAGTCCCGAAAAGGAACAAGGCTCTCCTACCCAGAATATCAGACAGTCTGCCGTACAGGGCTTGGAAGCTGACAGCAGTGATGAGATAGCTTGTGCTGACCCATACAGCATTATTGGCGGCGCCAAAGTCGGATGCCACCTTGGTGTAGATGCTGGCCGCGACGGTCGAGTCGAATCCAGTGAGGAAAACGTTGATCCATGTGACTGCCTGTATGAATCGCAGTCTCGTGCTTGGCTTCCACTCTTCATCACTGGGTGCGTGGGATTCCTCTGAAGGTCGGGAACGGGCGGACAACAAGCTGCTTCTCTCGTTCGCTTGCTGTGATGAAGATTGTTCCTGGGCCGAGGTTGCGCCAGGAGCTGGAGAAGGATCGGAGCGCATGATTGCAATGTCGCTGCGTCCTGCTCGATTGGGCGCTATACGTTGAGCCTTGAAAGTGAGGCTAGCGGTGCTTGGTATTGTCCGGTGAGGCCTTTATCGTCTGGATGGTGGTGGAGCGCAAGGCAAGTTTGATGAGAGCAGTCAGACCCATCATTTCACGTCGTGCCCACCGCCTCGTTATGCAATGCCTGTTGAGGCTGCCAAGAGAGCTCACGGTCAATCACCGAATGGCGAATAATAATCACGAATGGCGAATCTTGAATGCAGTCGTAGTTTCCAGCCAGAACAAGAGTCGCAGCGCGAGTGTCCCGTTCAGGTTTCTTCTTGACGCATGTGCACGAATTGGGGGCAAAAGCGCCTTTCCTGTGCAGACCGATGCA